GCTATTGTGGTGACACCAGACATCTGGATTCCAGAGGCTTAGACCAGAGTCTTTTTACACACTCTCAAGCTCTCACAAACTAAATACACTCAGTAAAACTAGGCTCTGGCATAGTGACTTCACTATGAACTAGCACCCCATAATGGAATCTTGGAGTTGAAGGCAGGAGAACCCACCAGTATAGGCGAATGATCTCTTCTCTGGTCTGTCGGATCCTGCTTAGAGGATCTTACCTGTTCTCTTGAGACTGCAGCTCTCCTGAAGTTTCGTTGACTGAGAAGGATTTGGAAATTTGAGGGTAGCGTAAGTCACTTCCTCAGACATTACTGAACAAATAAAGCACAATTCGATCACTCTGTGTGCTGTGCTGTCCCACTGACGTTCGCAGGAGCTGCTGTTGTTGGGTGATCTGGGCACGCAGGGACTTAGTTGAGTGAACTACCTTTGTAAAAACCAAGCAAAAAAAATAGTGTCAAAAACAGAACTGTTACTTCTGCATGCACCATATCTCCCTTTTTCTAACTTCCTCCAGTAAAACACCAAGTTGAAGAAATGGTCTTAAGAGAAAAGTGTAGGTTGTAAACATAAACTAGTTGGCATGTTATTTTTAATTTGTGGAAAAACCATAGGGATCTCCAGATTTGAGAGTACCCTGTGAAAATACAAATGCAGGTATATTTTCTTCTGAATCTATAAAATTGTTAATCACATTGTGTTCATGAGAACAGTGTTATAATTGTGTGTAACCCACTACGAATTTCTAGACAACCACAGGTGAGTTAATGCTCACCAAAATGTTTTTCTTTCCTTTTTACTTCCTATTTTTCTGGGTTGAAAAGAGTCCTGAGAAGTTAAAAGCAGGATATTAATGAACAATATCAAGAAAAAGTAGTACTAAGAGGAAGAGAAGAAAAACTGGGAGGCTACTAAGAATTAAGGTAATTAGATATTCACCCTCCCCACCCCAACACACACACACACACACAAAGCGGCCACCAAAACAATGGGAGATATATTTGAAAGTGGCAGTTCTTTCTTTAGAGTGTACCCATTAGGATAGGATCTGAATTCTAATTACTAGAATTCTGGCAGGAAGGTAGGGCAAGTATTTATATGAAGCTATTTAAATAGTGCAGAGCTGAAACAGGAGACCAAGTGCTTTGCTTGAGATCCAGCACCAGATTAGTCAGTGAAGAGCATGCTCACTGTGACCTGAGTATCTAGCGTAGTGACAACCATACGATGCATTGGTTCAACCAGTACCTGTCAATAAATAAATTATTAACCCATTCATAAATAATCACAATACTGCTCAGTGAAAGCAACAGTTAAATATTCTTATTAATAAAAACACCTGCGTTGACTTTCAAGAAAGATTGGGCGCTGTGCAATAGGTTGACAGAACCATCTCCCACAGAATTAAAACAAAAGGAACTATAAGAAATAAATTTAGGAAAGTTTGTGCCATGAAAATTGACACAAGGAAAAAGACATTACCTTTTACTACAAAACTTGAAACAATTTTTTTTTTCTTGAAATGTTGTGACGTACCCCGTGAATCACAGAAGGACACCTCAAGAAGTCGAATTAAAGAGTCAGATTTATTGAAATCCGGGACTATGAGGGGCCATTCCCAAATCTCATAGTGATAAGATGGTGGCAAAGCCAGACTTATATAGGCAAAGATCACAAAGGTATTGATGACATCTCGTGGTTTGGAATGAGGAAACTGGTTTGCAAAAAAGCAGTTTACAGAAGCAGAATTAAGCATGTTAATTACAGTTTTGGGTCTCAGGGTCACTGAATTGACAGAAACACCTTATCTAGAGTCCTCAGGTCTTGAGACCACTGGGTTGCCAAGAACTCACTATTTAGAGCCATCGAGGTAATTTAGAGTCATTGTGCTGTCCTGGTCTTGGGACCACTGAGTCAGCTGGGACGCATTATCTGTGGCCACTAAAACAATTTAGGATAATTGTGTCCTGTTTCCCAGGTACAAAAGAATATGCTTCGATAACCAGTAAGATCACAATCAATGGGACAGTCACGTTACAATCAATAAGGCATTCAATCGAATGGGATGACTTATACAATTTAGAAAATCAAAGTAACCTGTCCATTGTTAAACAAAGCAAATAGGTATCATACAGAACAGGTAAGATGTACTTAAGGAATATTCATAATTCATTGTGATTAATTACAAATGCAGTGAGGCTTTCGTTTTGACAGAGGAAGAAACTGTATTCTGACTGGGGGTTGGGGGTGGAGGCAGAGATAGGAGCAGGAAATATGTGGGTAACATGAGATTTAGTGCTTTCTCTAATATTAAGGAAAGTAGAGAAGTCTCTAGGCCTTACTTTACTTATTTATTAAAAATGAAATGGACTGATCTAAAGCTTTTAACCTATTTTTTCTAAAGTTATATGATACTCAACTTCTTCTTCCAAGGATAAATCTATTCAATGCTTCTTTGAGGTCTTAAAGGGTACATTTGCTTTGAGCCAGTAATTTGACTGTTTGAACTTGACACAGAGATAGACAAAGGTCTATGCACTGCATAGTCACCTCATCGCTATTTATAAAAGTGAGAAATGGAAAAAAGAGATAAATATTAAACAAAAGGAAAAATTGAAATTCTAGACTGTTCAGATAATGAAATCAGAAGCAAAGTTGATGTTTTGTTCCTCTCTTCTTAACAGAAATTATTATATTAATGATGGATAATGTCTGGATAAAAATGGGGAAAAATAAAAGCCCTACAAAGATAGAAACTTTGGAGAAATACTTCACTGTTGTATGTTTGTTTCCCCCCACATCCCGCGTGGTTCAGGGTTCAGGATCTGGAAGAGGAGCCTCACACAAATGAAAGAGAAGAGAGAGACAAGAGATAATTTGGAAATATTGAGGGTCCAGGTGGGCAAGTCCAACTCAAGGGGAAGGATCTCCACTGGTGCCTATGCCTCGCCAGCCTTTTACTCAACTTTGGTTAAACATAAAACCCTTAGTCAGGCAGGTAATAGCAGTAGCAGACAGGCTATCATAAAGGTCAGTAAATACTAGAAGGATTTACTCTGAGACTATTTGATCAAGAAATAGCTTGAGCTCCCATTGTCAGGACTAGACAATCAGTGCATAACTCAGGCCCTGCCATGGGTACAAGTGTCACCAGCCTTCTGGGATCCTTGTTTGCACTTCTCTGCTGGTGAAGACAGTGGGTGGCGTCCTGCATCTCCTGCACTTGTATGCATGCATATAAGCATAACCAGTGGACATAAGGCACTGGGGTAGGGGAGGTCGGGGGAATGTTAAGGAGGGGAAAAAGAAGGAGACACATGTAATACTCTTTGTAATACTTTAAGCAATAAAACAAATAAAAAAAAAGAAGATAAATAAATCCCAGATACCTGCTTCCAGCCGCTGTGTCTCCGCTCAAGGAGGATCTGGGAGCCTGGGTTTCCAGGGGCCATGGCCAACCGGCAAAGAGCCATCAGCCCCTCACCCAGGTTAGCCATGCACCCCAGCGGAACCCCCCATCCTGAAGGTGGTGTAGCCAGCCTGCAAACAGCCCTCAGCCCATCACCCAGGCTGGCCACACCCTCATGGGGTGAAGGTCCCCGCTGCGGGGCTTGGCCAGCCTGAAAACAGCCATCAGCCCCTCACCCAGGCTGGCCAGTCACCCCAGCGGGGACCCCCACCCTGAAGGGGGTGTGGCCAGCTTGAAAACAGCCCTCAGCCCCTCACCCAGGCTGGCCATGCCCATGGGGGCGTGGCTGGCCTGCAAACCACCACAGGAAAGCCTAGATAGAACCTGGCTGCAGAACCCGGCTAGAGAACCTGGCGACCGAACCTGGCTGGAGAACCTAGCGAGAGAACTAGCTACAGAACCTGGCTGGAGACCCTGACAAGAAAACCCGGCTATGATGATCAACTGAACGCTGTCTCCATGTCATTCCTTCTTCGCCGAGTCCGTCCACACCTTTGGGGACCCCTGGACCTGCTGGGGTCGGACCCCAGCAATCAGGGAGGCAGGCAGAGAGGTTAGGGGTGATTAGGCAGGCAGAGGGGTTAGGGGCAATCAGGCAGGCAAGCAGGCAGGTGGGCGGTTAGGAGCCACCAGTCCCGGATTGCAAGAGGGATATCCGACTGCCAGTTTAGGCCGATCCCTGTAAACCGGCAGTAGGACATCCTTCAAGGGGTCTCAGATTGGAGAGTGTCCAGGCCGGGCTGAGGAACACCCCCTCCCTGGTGCATGAATTTTGTGGACTGGGCCACTAGTTTATAATAATAAAAGCGTAATATGCTAATTAGACCAGACAGCCGAACAAACTTCCTGATGAAGCCAGGGCTGTGAGGGCTGAGCCTCGTGCATGAATTTTATGCATCGGGCCTCTAGTGTTGTCATAAGTACTAACTCTGAGCTGGCTCTTCATCTGTGCTTTTAAACAGTCCTTAGTCCTTCCCATTGCTTGATCTACATGCAGCTTTATGTTGCTTTAGTTTGTGATATCACAAGAGGATTCCATGGTCAATTGTCCACTCCTACCTCAATGTTAGAATGTGTGTCCCCTGTCAGACATGAGGTTTTGTAAGGTTTCATAGTTAATCAAATAATTCTCTAAGTTCATGGATATCAGTCCTGGCTGATGCTCAGTGGGCAAGACAAGCAATTCCATTTTCTCTCTCTCTCTCTCTTTTTTCCAAAATGGAAATCAATCTGTATTACTAGAATAAACCTCAATTGGCATGATTTATTATCCTCATATATATTCTTAGATTCAATTTTCTTTGATTCTCCATGAGGTTAGTATTTATCTTGTTTGTTTCTGGAAAAACAAGAAAAAGATTACTTTCATTTTAGACACTATATTGATGCTTAATATTATCCTTTAGTATCTAAATGATATGGTTTGACTGTAGGCATAACTTAAGGTTTCTTTTACTTAGAAAATGAAGAGAAAGAGAACATTTGAAAATACAAATTGTTAGGATAGAGGCAGACATTTAGTTTCACAATATCTTTATTCCATTTGTGTGGTCCACAAGATACATGTACCTTACAGTTGTTAGTGTAGTTAATTACACTAACTACCCTCTTTCACCTGGTTCTTCATTCATTAGTGTGCTCTCAATCTTCACTGGATTAGCTAATTTCTCACATATAGCATTTTTTTCCTCAGTGCAGGGACCATAATAAACATGCTTAGAATATACATATCCACAATACATTACACCATTTAAATCACTTGTGTTTCCTGTAAACCTGAAAAAGAAAATAATGATTTACACTAGGCTACTCAAACATTTGAAACATATTCATACACACAAAAATTGCTTTTCCAGTATATCATTGCTCCTAGGCTCTGCATTGTCTAAGATAGTTTTAATTATTATTTAGAATATCAGGAGTGTTCAGATTACTCATTTTTATTGACATATATACAATGTCAAACACTGCCTCTTGTTCTCTTTCTCACATCTGGAATATTTGCTGTTCTTTCAGACCTACCATCTCCCTTCCCTAATACCTAACATGATTTAGAATAATGCAATTCCATTAGATTTTCTAGTCTAACTGGCTCAGTAGTAAATCTTTGACACTGTCTTTCTCAAATGTTTTTCATAATCACCAAAATCAATAATAAATCTAATAAGAACATTATCTCCAAGTGACATATCCCTCTAGCTTTTTAAAATTTATTTTAATGATAAAGACAATATAACGCATTTTATTAAGTTTTTCCCCATTTTTGAAAAGTTTTCTTTTTTAAAAATTAAATTTATTGGTGTTACATTTGTCATATTAACATATAGATTTCAGGTGTGGGTTTTTATGTTATGTGTATTTTTTACCATGTGCCCACCACCCAAAGTCAAATTTTCTCCTGTAACCATATATTAGGTTCACCTTCTCTCCTTCTAGTTGCTTTTTAGAGATTTTTACTCTGAAGTTCTGAATTATTACCAACCACTAATACAAGATTATTGGTCAGGGGTTATGCATTAAGACAAACTTGTAAATTGAAAATATTATCTTTTGAAAAAACTTTAGTATTCATACTTGAGTTGATAAATAATGACCATTTATCAATAAAAAAAATTCCTCAAATATTCAAAAGTAAAAATTCCTATTTGAGGTGAAATAATACAGATGTCATTGGTCACACCCCTTTCCAGAAACAAACTCCAAAATAACATCAAGAATAAAAACCAAAAGTGAATCATATATACATACATATTTAATTATATATTATACACAAATATAATGTGTTTTATATACAGATAGTATTATATAATTTTATTTCAGTATCATTTCTTTATAATTATAAATAATCTATTATGTTTCCAGCCCATTATAGATTAGCTTCCAATTAGCAAAATTGCAAATAAACACATGGAAATTCTACTTTTCCAAAACAAGATCCCATTTACACTCTCCCCTGAGACATACACTACCTTTACCCCTAGTCCTTCACTCCAAACAAGATCTTTAAACTATATATCCTTTTCTCCTCTGTTTGTGCTTATCTTATCCCCTAGTCTGTCCTGTCTTTGCAAACTGCTAAAGCTAGAGCTACCTTGTCTTTTTCACTTATATTCCTACACCTGCTATTTTTTTTTTCTGAAGGGAAAAACAACCAAAACAAAAAGCAGTCAAAGCTTCTATTTACTGTTTCACTCAAAGTAGTGAGTATGCAGGAATCTCAGAGTTTAGATTCAGTGTGGAAACACCTCAACACAGTCACCCTGTGTTTGCTTGATGTGTCCTCAAACAACAGGTATGTATAAATTCACCGGCTTGCAACAGTATACAACAGGTTAAGACTCGATTTCGTTCTTTAATCTAATTTTGTCTACTTCCGAAATTGAAGGGATTATAAACTACCAATAAAATTTTGACATTACTTTTATGTAAGGCTTGCTTTTGCCCTCATTACAAGCAGAACAAGACAACATATGAATCCATTTATAATTACATTTTAAATATATTACACAATGAAATATTTTAGATATAGCATATGTGCAATATACCAGGCTCAAGTTCACTTTATTTTCTTTACGAGAAATTCTCTTCTAGTCTATCTCTAGAATTTCCATTCAAAGTGGTCATTTCAAAAGTTAGTGTAGCCCTAACCGGTGTGGCTCAGTGGATAGAACATAGGCCTGTGGACTGAAGGGCCCCAGGTTTGATTCCGGTCAAGGGCATGTACCTCGGTTTCAAGCACATCCCCAGTGAGGGGTGTGCAGGAGGCGGCTGATCAATGTTTCTCTCTCATCGATGTTTCTAACTCTGTTTCCCTCTCCCTTCCTCTCTGTACAAAATCAATAAAATATATTTTTTAAAAAAAGAAAAAAACGTTTAAAAAAAAGTCAGTGTATAACACAAATGTCAAAGCTAAAATTTATTTTTTGTTATTCTGAATGAAGCATTTTCACCTTCTATTCTTTTTATCTGTAAAGCTAGTCTAATCATACAATTAATGGTTAAGTAATTAAGGGCAGAATCAATCTTTTGCTTATCTGTGAATCTAAGTACTTAGCATCATTTTAAGTACATGTTAGAGCCCGTTGAATTTTGTTGGCTTCCTTTTTTTTTTTTTTTTTGACTGGGGAATGGATTTTCCGGTCATCTTCAATAGGGCAAAAACTTAAAAAACAAAACAAAACAAAAAAAACCCCACCTGAATGTTGGAATTCAGTTCTTTATATAAAGTCCCTTGTAAAAACAAAACAGGATAAAAACAAACTGAAAAGACGGGGCAGGGCAAATTTTTTAAAAAAGGAAAAAGGAACAGAAAAGAATTTTGTTGGCTTTTAAAGTTCTCTTAGATAAAAGCACAATCCATAGAAATTCTCCCTTATTTTGCTACCATAAGTTTGTTAGTAACTTGTCAAGATAATGGGAAGACATTTGTGGCAACTTCTTGCATTATTAGATGTATGAGGAAGCCTTATGGAAAATAATTCTTTATGGATACAATTTCAATTGAAGCCAGTTTTAATTGTAACCTACAATGCTCCTGAGGAAAACTCCTTTATTCAAATCAACCAGAAACATTCAACATGACTAAAGACTTACCAGTCAGAGGAGATAATTGTTTCATCCAATTCTTTCCAAGGTTTGTAATCTTTTCTGGGAGATAATCCTAACCAATAGCCATATAACTCCTTGGACTTTATAAATTTCTACAGGAAAAAGAGATGGTTTGTTAAAATAACTATCTTCCATTTCTGTATTTTACCTCACAACATAATTTCTTACAAATAACTCTCTTAAGGTAACATTTTTAACATTATACTACTATTTTTCATTGTCATTAAAGAAAATTGAGGCAGTGTTTTTCACTATGAGTTCTTCCAGCATTTATACATCAGTTAATGTCTCACAGGGATCTACCAATCCATTCATAAGCTTAATTTAGAGTCAATGGAGTTCCCAAACTTCGGGATTCAAACATTGAGCAGTAAATATTCAGACTAGGGGCAAAGAGGTGGCTATAAACACAGGAAAATAGAAATAGAAAGAGTAGGAGAAAATGTAGCAAAGTCAGATGAGAGTGGGTATAGAACAGAACTTAAAACCAGTCCCGAGTTTGTAGCCAAAGTAACATTTTTTTAATAAATACTATGAATGGGTCATAGGAAAAACACATGAAGAAGAGCTATGGATTGATTTCCCTCTCTTTTTTGAAGAAAGAGAAAGATGTTTGAGTCAGAAAGCTGAGACTCTAGGGCAAATGAATTTTTGCCTTGAAAAATAAATATGTGATTTCCATCTGAGTGACCAGAAATGTTGACTAATAAGTAAAATATGGAGATACTATGTAGATATTTGAAAAAAATAAATATATAAACAAATCTTCCAGAGAACTCGCTTTTTCTTGGACCCAGGAACTCTTGTGCAATATATTTGCTTGGCACTTGCCTTTGCCATCTTAATTCTGATTTTTTATACATATTTTTTCCAAACTATCTTCTTATTCTAGTATATATTGGCTTTCTCTCTTAGTTCAAAAAAACAACAACAAAATGGTGGAAATAAAGAACCTCCTCCTTTGTACATCTTTTGGCATTAGTAAACGTCAGGAATAATTTCCAAATCTCCTGTTTTTAGATAAATGTTCATAAATCGTGTCCTAAAAGTTGATCCTAAACTTTGGAAATGCTTACAGACCTGATTTTGGGTGCCCCATATCTACTCATTTGCCCAGCCTCTCAGATACACTGATGCTAGTAGGGTCCTCAGCTAAAGTTTTATATGCTTTACCTTGGCTACCTGAGGTAAATGTGCCAAGTCTCAGTCACATCATGCTCCAACTAGAATAAGCCAGAATCATGTCTGGATTCATACAGATCTTCCCCAACATGCCTCACTCCTACTTATTCTACCTTGGGAAAAATGATTTCCCTCCTCACACACAGAGATCATAGGACCTTACCAATATGCTTTTGTTCTTAATCTTCACCAGGCTGGCATTGTGAGCAGAACATGTGGAGTCACTCTGCTGCCATGTCTCATCCTCTTTAAATTCTCTATAACAGCTGTCCTCATGCCACACCCATTTCTCTGGACAAGGTTTACATTTGTGCTCTGGAAAAAGAATGTAGTTCCATTTGATGTGTTTGATAATCTTCATTATTCTCACTATTCCCATTGTCCTCTATGTTAAATTAACCAAATTTACTTGTCTTTTTTCTTTGTACATCAAAGCTGAAGAAAATGAATTTTGTGTTCTAGGCCCCTCTATACCACCACAATGTGTCTAAAACATAATTTGAACAACACATTTCAAATTAAACACTTATCTTCTAGCACATTTTCCTACCTCAGGAGCCCTGGATAATAATTAATTTATTTCTCCCTTTGTCATTTTTGATATTACTACAAGGTAATAAAGGCTAATCCTAAGAAACATTGGGTAGTGAGAATCAAGCCCACAAACCTACATCAATCCACACCAATCCTGCCTTCTTCAAAGAGACCATTTTTAGCTCTGACTTGTTCAATATTTGGGAAATTTTGCAAGGGCACAAAGAACATATTTTATTTATAATAGTTATAGAAAGTGTTACAAGGGCAAGACCTAACTTTATTCTCTCTTGATTCTTATTAAAAATTCACTGAAATTTAGGAACAAAGCCACCTATAAAGAGATATACTTTTCTCCAAATCTTCTATTAATTCATTACCCAGAAAAACCTAATGAGTGTCAGATTAGAGAAACTGTATATTGTTTAATGTTTCATTAAGTTACTGTTATCCCTGTAATGTTGGGGTCTATGTTATTATTACTTTCTGTTTTTCTTTGTAACTAAATAGAAATATTAAGTACTCTGTCAACCAGATTTAATTCCTTCCCCCAAATAATGTCTTCCAAAGGAAAAACTGATTGTCAAGTGACTCCTAGGGTTAGTTCATTGTATAATAAATAACTTAGACAGGAATATAGGATTACCTGGTTCTGTTCTACATAGCTCATAACATAATTTGGTGGCCATTTCTTGCAGTGTGCTAGAGAGGTTCCTGATCTTCTCAAGATTATCCATATTATATTTTAGTTGTAGAGAAACATTACTCTGAAGTTTGTCTTTGAAATTTTGTAGCTTTTCCAATTTTTCCATTTCTATTTTCGAAGTTAGGTAAACTCCATGTTTAAAAGAAAAAGAAATGATAAAAAATGTTAATCCCTCAATACATCCATCACCTCTTTTTTGCTGAAATAGTATTCAGAATATTGAAGGTCTAGGGAAGAATTCATTTCAAAAGAGGAGGGAAAGA